GTAGTCCATTTCCAGCTTCTGGGCTTTCTGTCTGCATGCGCGGGAGGAAACACATGCAGTTCACACAGTTTCTTCATGAAAATCAAGAAGCTTGCACTAGTGGGATCACATAAGCAATGCTTGACTGAACAATGTTGGCAGACTAGTGTATGGGCTGCACAGCACCTGCTCAGCATTATTAGGTATACGAGAATGTTCATACATACCTTTACCTGCCACAATCTGTATGACTGTGCTTATATCTCTGATAACCAGGCAGGTGGCCATGTGAGTACATTCAGTCACTAGAAGAGCAGGGGCAAGGGAAAGTCATGGATACAGTCATCATACCAGCCAGCTACGCATTACTCACCAAACCACTTCAGCATGGCCGCCTTCTTGTGCGGAAAATAGTGATCGATGATAGCCATGATGAATCGACTCTCTCCAAGAAGGTCCACAAGCTCTCTGGGCTTCTTCACTTTGTCAAACGGCCTTCTGTGCGTGCCGCTCGAGCCAGGCTCTGGCTGGGTGACCTTCTTGAAAACACATCCATAGACCTTCTGCACCCAGAGGCACAACGCCTGATCCAGGGTCTCCGGGGCCTCTTTGGATGCCCGATAGGCGACTCCTGGCATCTCTCTGCGCAGAAAAAGATGACATAAGCCAATGGAGATTGGCAATGCATAGTACTGACATACCTACAGCAATCTATCCTTTGCAAAGTGCTCACCGAAAACTAGACGTGCTATGTCAAAGTATCCATCCACAGGCTGTCTAGTACCCAGCTACTACTGAAGAAGTGAAGTAGTCACAAAAGAAGCACGAGTGGCTTCAGACAATGGGCAGCACTCACCGGATGTATTGTTCAATGTCACACATGTTCAGCATCCAGTCACAACTCCAGCGGGTAATGGCTGCCATCAACTCCAAGTGACTGCCCTACAGGTAGAGAGCATTAGAAAGGAAGTAGATAGATATGCTTCTGAATGGAACGTTATACTTTGTATGGGAGTAGATGGGGAAATTTCAGTATTTGTCCATTGTCCCAAAGAAATCGGATGTTTTTCAAACTTCGATATGGGACCTACGGCACCCCCCCCCCCCCCCCCCCACACCCCCCCCCCCCCCCTACCGGTATCCCGACTGGAAAAAATTCTAGTATGAAATTCGTTGTTGCAGAGAAACAAAACAAGAAAGAAATTGGTTTTTCCCCAATCTACTCCCATACAAAGTCGATCTCTCTGACGTCATAAATCCGGCCTAGTCTGGGCAAGTTAATGACGCCATCATGATGTCACCAAATTTAGTGACTCTTTCCAAATTTAGTGACAACTTCGAGCAGGTATATCTCGGGAACGGCTGCTCCGATCAGCCTGGGACCTTCACCACTGGGATCAAAGGTGGGAACGGGAAGAGGCAATCAGACTACGGTATTGGAGGTAAATATGAGATTTCACAGCAAACGTCAGTGCGCAATTAACTATCAGGTGCTGGTAGTTCACACGAGTTGTATAATGATGACGTTAGTGGTATAATGATGATGTATTTTCTGCTTTGGCTCGCGGTAGATCTAACTAAGTTGCATTTGGCTGTTTTAGAAACAAGCTGCCAATTGCCATCTCTTTTATTCGAACCATAGAGTATGCCCCTATCTCGCGTTGGCCAGGTGGAACTGCTGCAAAGGACTCAGTAACTGCTATGGCTTGCCGCTACATGCGTATATGTGTATTGTGGATTTAAGTCCCTCCCGATGTACTAGTACACTACTAGTACCCGTACGCACCTATAGATAATCAAAGGTAATATCTTAAATAAATAAGTATGGACTTAGTAGCAGTGGTGAGGCTTCCTACAGCTTCATTCATAGGAAAAAAGTTTCAGAGCAGACCCGCTCTCTTCCCATTCCCTCTGCAAACTCGAATTCGTTTCTCAATCAATTATTACATTTCGGCAAAATTGTATGGACTTATACGTATGGAAGTATGGACTTGACTTGATAGCAATACCGACTACTGTGTATCACTGTGTGTTGCCACTCACGCTCTTCATTGGCCGTGTCAGAATGTCCATGTACAGTGTGCTCTCCAACACAGACATTGGTAGGTACTGCTTGCTGATGAGCGTGGCCATCGCCCACGCCAGTGTCATCGTCTCCTCCAGCACGCACTGCAGCCCGCTCAGCACCTTGACAACGTGTGCGTAGAGGCCCCCACGTTCCGAGCACAGGTCCTTCTCCCATATGGACGGCGCCCTTCTCTTCTTGCCACCACTGGTAACCTGCCGCAGCTATCAGCATACGACAATTATAGAATAGTCTTAGCTGAGTTAAGGCTCGCATAATGGGCCGTGCAGGTCATATACACATGCAACACAACTTCACACGAATAGAGTGGTTTCACACCTATCACATGACCCAACGGTACAGCCATGATGGTTCCAACTCTACTCAACTTACGCATCTATGGGTCATGTGATGTCGGCCATGTTGCCGGTTCCTCTGTTCACATGATATGATCATTTTCTACACAAATTTAGTCACATGACAAACTGATGTGAACTGAGACCACTCGATGCCTGTGGCACTTTGAGACATATCTACACTTTACACGGGAGCCGCTTAGATCTGTTCTTCAAGTGGCACTCCGTGCTTCGAAACCAGAGGCCATGCAGATTGCATCATAGTAACGCCCTTCTGAAGCATCAGTAGCCTGCACGGAGTGGTAAATTAATCCCTATCCCAGGGAATGTATGACACACAGGTGTTATCTCCTATTTCCTCTCGTGCCAGCAATCGAGATCAAATGACCGTTTTGAGGCAAAGATTATAGATCCAATGCTGTCAAGGTACATGTATAGCACTGCTCAATGAAATCCAGTCGCTTCACTCAAGTATACACCGGGCGTTGTGCAGCCATAGTGACCTGTGATCACTGGGCTGCGGATGATGCAAGGCGCAGACTTGAGTGACGCGACTGGATTTCATTGTGCAACACTGCACATACCGATTATTAGATGTGCTGACTTCTGTATCAGCTAGTCACGTTGGACGGTAACCATTCTGACTCACTCACGTACTATGCTAGAGTCAACGAGTGACATCATTATTCATTCGAGGTCGGTCACAGATGCCGGTGTATAGGTACTGTGGAATGCATATTATTAACTACAAGTCAGGCAACGGATACCACAGAAATATGTACCAGGTATTACCTCAAACAGGTCCAGCACCGGTTTCCTTTTCCATTCTTGTCTGAAGTAGTCATGGTATATCCAATTTGAGTAGCGCGACAGCCGCACAAGCCAAGTGAACGAAACATCAAAATCACCCTGGAGAAACGGATAGCGGAGAAGAGGAAGAGAGAGAGAGAGAGAGAGAGAGAGAGAGAGAGAGAGAGAGAGAGAGAGAGAGAGAGAGAGAGAGAGACACACACACACACACACACACACACACACACACACACACAGATACACAGAATGGCTCAGCCATACTGTATTCCCAAAAGAAACCAATGTAAATATTTCCGGTGCCCGTGACTAGTTATGGTGAGGCAAAGAGAAAGCAATGGAGGAAATATACTAGTGCGGGCCTCTAGCAAAGGAATCTGAAGGCAGCAAAGGAATGTACTGAACTCGTGATGAAGGTAAACATTTTTTAAAGAAATGCAAATACAGCAGTATGGTTAAATGAGATGAGATGCAAGGATGCAACATTGGCACTTACCCTGACCTTTCCCATCAGACATTGGGATGAGATGCTTTTTCCACCGGCATTCTCCCCCACGTTCGTGTCCACACCTGTCGTTTCCCTGTGGTTGAGACCTTTCTCTGATGTCTGGTTCCGCTCCAGGCCATCCTTACCCACTCTGAACGTGGCGGACAGCCTTTGCGCCTGTGACGCGCCGCGTGCGCTGTCCACGCCGATGTCCGCATCTCGTATATCATCCACCCGGGTGAACATCTACACGACCCCCGCACCCCGGTCTAGGTGTATTTCAGCAGTCACGGTGGTCGTCGGTCTGACCTGAGTACACTAACATATTCCCAGGACGCATCAACAACAACGTATTGGTACCCGGAACGTGTGGGCAGTTATTCCTGCTCCACTCAAGCTGCACTGATGAAATTTATTTTTCACTTGTCATGTAGTGTGCACACATACTTCATTCGAACTCCTTCCGTTGCGCCTCACTACACGGATATTCTCGCCGTGTGGATGCAGCCTGCCGATCAGCAAGGTCGTAACGGAGACAACTGGAATGGAGGAGTTGGATGACCTCTAGTCTAGGTTCTAGTACTGCACCAGATCTTGAGCAGTTGAGGTGCAGGCATACAGCGTGAGCAGCTTTGTCTAGTCCACTGGCTTCTGCAGACTAAGGTCAGGATTGTCAGTACTCCCTCCTCACAACGAATATGTCCAGGCCAGACCATGAGACGCGGCCTTCTCGTTGTGACTGTGCTCAACAGTAGAGTGCCGGTGCTGCGAACACAGCACTACACCACAGCAGACTCGGTAACGGTGCGTGCGATCGGCCAGTTCTGATCCCACCGCGAAGCTTCGAAGGTCTCTGCACTTGGCACGTAAATGTTTAGACTTCTCGAGCAAGCAGGGCTTCACGCTCACATAACCCGTGTACGGTCCAGGCGCGACTATTTCCCCCAGAAGCGTAGCGCGTTACTCACAAAACGATTCAAACTACAAACTGTCAATGTGTTTCTTGATGGAGAATTGAATGAAACAACAGCGACATACACTCAAATCTCAATACAATAATGCTGGGGCACTGCTAGCGCATGCTACCGCCACTGCCGATATCATTACTATACCAGCACTAGCAATGATGCATGACGGCATCAGCATGATCAGAAAAGGAGGCCCGTGCTTTAATTTTGTCTGGTTGCCAATAGTGACGGTAACTGGGGACAACGCTTTGAGGTGCATGTCGCCGGCCGCCATGCATGGTCGCAGGGTCACGATTCATCGCGAGCAGGGATAAGGAGTCGTAATGTGTTTTACGACTCCCTGATACTGTGATAGCGAGCCCCGGCCCCATGCACAGTGACACCGACACCGCGGTAGATTTACCCGCAACATCTGCTTCCCGAATCCCGGTCATACTCATACTCATTATTGACTCATAAACCATCCCTTGCCTTTTTGTCATATCCCGATTATCCGTGAAACGGGGAGGGACTGTGACTGGAGTGGAGGCTTCTTCCAGTTTTGGTCAAGGTGTGAGGTGCATAATACAAATAATAGAAAAGCTGACAGGATCGCTTTTCTAAATGTACATACGAGTGTGCAGTGCTGGGTTTAAGCCTAGTGTAGGTGTTGATTTACGCTATTATCTACGATTTTCGTTCTCGACGTATGGATTCCCGGCAAGAGTACGTAGGGGGTTATGTACTCTTGATTCCCGGCCCTAGGCTATGGACCATGGCCTTATTATTCTCATTGCTTGGACTCTACAGTCAGTCATGTGCTTGTCGCCCGCATGACTGTTCTTGCCTGTACATGCTCGTACATAGACCGGATGCAGCACTTCATCAAGGTAGCATGTTACGGTATCTTCACGTCTGCCTTACGTTAAAGCAGTAGCGACAGCACTGTGCCATAGCAGCAGCACAATCATACTGACACTAATAGCGTTAGAACCAGAGGTCGACGGTGAAGATATAAAAATGGATTATGGGAAATGCTGAATATACTTCAAAGTTACAATGATAATAAAACTCAATAAATCTTTTAAAATCAAGTTCGGTACACCTACTTACTAACCAGGTGAAATTGAATTTGTTAGGGTCTCATTCATCTGCAGATCACAGAGTGACTCACCGAGGTGATCGTGATCAAGGGGCCAAACAAACCGGGGTTTGTACGACTCCATGATCACAATGATACTGGTCAAAGAAAGAAACTGAAATCTGTTAAATAATATCTTTCAAAAATGCTTATCAAGTGTTTAGCAACAAGGCCATACTCAAGTAAGATTTACACTGCTCAAATTGTATCACGTTGGGTGCAGCTGCAGAGATGCAGTCCAACTTGAGTTGAATAGGATCTGGTCCAGATGAATGTTGCATGATGAGCTAACCGGACTGGACCTGAACAGAGGTCTCAAAAGCTTTTCGGCTTCGCTCAGCGATGCAATTCGGGTTCTGAGAAGAAATTATCTACGTGTTAGCTCCAGGAATTTATGGCCTGGGCATCTTCCCGTCTCTATGCACACTGTCGTCTGATTCTTTCAATGCTTTGCATCCATTCGGTCTACGATGAAACACAACAAGAAGGAAGTTGAGGAATGTTACATGCGTGCCGGTAACTACTGGTAACCTGACATGGTACAACTTTTAAAAGTCACACAAGCATAGACGTTCCTGAGTAGCATAATTATGATTGGTTTCAAAACTGTGACCCATTATACCCTTGGAGCATGGCTATGAACAATCCAGAACCAACGAGGAGCGGTGGAACGATAGATGTGTGTGTGTGTGTATTTGTGTGTGTATGTGCACATGTGTGTATGTGTGTGTATGTATGTGCACATGTGTGCACATGTGTGTATGTGTGTGTATGTATGTGCACATGTGTGCACATGTGTGTATGTGTGTGTATGTGTGTGTATGTACAGTGCTGGCAACTGAAATCCGACCCCCTGGGCGGCGAGGCCCAGGGGGTCGGATTTCAGTTGCTAGCACTGTATGTGTGTGCGCGTGCACGCGTGTGTGTGTGTGTGTGTGTGTGTGTGTGTGTGTGTGTGTGTGTGTGTGTGTGTGTGTGTGTGTGTGTGCGGGAACTGGGCGTAGTGCCCAGCTCCGGGCAGTACTGCTGTGCGTTTACCTTGCTCTTTTCCGACGGAGCTTCCAGGGACACAGCACCCACGTACTGATGGTAATCGTTCTTGAGTAGTATGCAGAAGGTGTGCCTTAAATTCCGGTCTGTATATGACAGGGGCAAAGCAGAAACAACAAGCAGACCTTGGCACCTGGGACAGTCTCAATTATTGAGAGAGACACACCCAGAAGAGTATGTTGGGGGGGGGGGGGGATCACAATAGATGGTCAGTTCATATGGCACAATTCCCTGGACCATACTGGGCAAATTACTCACCAGTTGGAACATCCAGTACTTCTACATGGCTGACAGGATAGGGCTGGAGGAAATCAAGATACAACGGAGAGATGCAGTTTACATTTTCACAAGAAGCACAGAGTCACAAGTTTCGCGTTGCAACACCACAGAAAGGCTCTACTACAGAGATATTTTCTAATTGTATGCGCATCGGAATTATATTATTATGGGAGAAAACTCAATCTCCGGACAGCTCAGTAGTAGTACTTCGAAGTAGCTGTTTCGACCTTGTTAGATCATCTCCTCAGCAGAGCTCAGGGTTACAGGCTAAACCAATAGCAATGACGTCCAGTGAACAACAAAATATATATTTTTTATTCTGGCTCAAAGTAACACAGTCAGAGTGCCAATATGTACATGTATCCCACTTTGGAGCACAGAGAGAGAGAGAGAGAGAGAGAGAGAGAGAGAGAGAGAGAGAGAGAGAGAGAGAGAGAGAGAGAGAGAGAGAGAGAGAGGGGGGGGAGAGAGAGAGAGAATGAGAGAGAAATAGATCAAACAGGCTGCATTACACCAGCCATGCTGAACGTGCAGAGCTAACGTTAGGCGCAAGCCACAATATGCATCTCTTGCTAACCTGTTTGCAAACATAGTACTCCATCAAGCCGGTATTGGAGTGTGCCGGACCTAATAGAGGCGATCCAGACGACAGATTTTTATTTGAACCGGTTTCCAATGGTGATTCAAACCGGTTTGCCTGCAGCAAAAGCATAAAGACAGTGGCACAGCAGCAGAGAGATTTAAACATCAGTACAGCAACCAATCCATGACGAATCCATCACTTTTCTTCACTTCGGTTTAGAGTGTTGTATCGCGTAGGCACACCTAACCATTTTTGCTCAATGCCGTGCGTGGTTCAAGCCAGGCCAAACATTTGCTTGAACATTTATAGCAATGCATGTACAAGTAAGTAAGGACCCACTATACCCATGACTTGTGAGAGTGTCACATACATGTATATAAACTAGGACTTGGGTAAGAAACGTAAAATTAGGGTCATGTCCTTATGCCGGGTAGACTGAGGCCTACACACATACTACATGTACTTATGCCGGGTAGACTGAGGCCTACACACACACTACATGTACGTATGCCGGGTAGACTGAGGCCTACACACATACTACATGTACTTATGCCGGGTAGACTGAGGCCTACACACATACTACATGTACTTATGCCGGGTAGACTGAGGCCTACACACATACTACATGTACTTATGCCGGGTAGACTGAGGCCTACACACATACTACATGTACTTGTACACTTACCTTGTGACCACTAACGACAGGTCTGTGCCTGGTCAGCAGGAGGAAATCGTTGAAGAGGAACGCCACCACACTGGCCAAGCGTGTGGTGATGCCGGTCCCAACGTACTCTGTGCCACACCGCATATATAGGACAAGAAGAGATCATGGATACCTTCATTCAGACGCAGCCTGCCGACACAGCACCCAGTGAAACCGGGAGGCCGTTTATGCTACCCGGCAACATAAGCTGGGGCAGGAAAATGACACCATACACTGCAGGCAGCTTACCTAATAACTTGAGAGAGCCGTGGTGAGCCAGCCATCTTGTCGATGAGTGAAGTGGCAATGGTGCCAGTGATAGAAGCTTCTCCGTGTTCTACACACACACATGGCACAAACACCATCCGTGCAGCACACCGATGCAGAGATCATGCCTAACCTCAGTAATAGGCAAGTAAGACGGTCCAGGTCATAGAGCTGAGACTACACCATATCATACGAAGGAAGGGTTACGGCTCTGAACGTACAAGTTGGTCTTCTGCTAGCACTCCCCCCCCCCCCCCCCTCACCTACCCTACTCTCATCCAATACATGCATGACCATCCTCAACCCGGCTTGCCGCAAGTCACTCACATCAGGAAGAGCACCAGCTGGGTCAACGGCAAACACGGTTGGCCACTGGATGCTCGACTGCAGCTCGTGGCACTTCTGCTCCTGTAGGTACTGTTTGACAAGACCATCCAGCTCATCTACACACGGCAGAAGCAGCAGCAGCAACATCGTGAGTTGTACACTTGAGAAGGAAGGCAAAATCAGAGTACATGGGCACCAGATTACATACAAGTATCCAACAACAGCACATTCCCGGTGAATGAGTGAGCTTATTTTCTCTATCTGCCAGTCCCTGCTCTACTGATTTACTTACGGCAAGACACTTCGATTGCTTTAGCGGCCGAGCTCAATTCACTGAATAGCGGCAGGGATCTGTTTCCATGGTAATCCTGGACAATGTTCTGCATTGGAAAACAGATACAAGTACGGGTTAGCTCTCTCACGACACATAACAGGACCTGCGTCAATGATGCAATGGTTCTGAATAACTTACGCGGCATTTCTAGTTTCAACATGTAATGGCAACACTAGGTCCCGTACGTCACAGCAACTTCACAACGGTGGAAAATATAGCTTCTCTAATGCCAACAGAACAGTGACGGGGTATGCAGCTTCCACATGGAAGCTGCAATGCCAAAATTCCTGGATTATATCATGGTTGATGTAGATGAGCGATGGAGAACGGCCCATTATATTCAACTGAGCTGCAGTTGTGCAGAAGTGGACCTGCTTGAATCCTTCGTGTGCGCACTGCATCACTGAAACCATGAAATCCAGGAATTTTGCCGTAACGGCAATCCATACAACCTGTGCTCTCTAGTTTTCATGCAACCTTGCTGATACTGATGGTATGATGTTAAGCATTAGCCACTTTACCCTTGGTGATGCTGATGGCAAAATCATTAGAGTTAAAAAGCATAGCCACTTCATTCTGTACCTTTAGCAACATTGGTAGACGCTGCAGCCGCTGTACTGGTTCAAAGAGGAACGACTTCAGGCTGCGCTTCCTCACGCGCTGGTGCTGGTGACAAAACTGCAAGATTCACAACAGATTGGAGAAATCCATAGGGAGCATCAGTGATCGGAGACCACGGCACGTGCACGTGTTACTGTACAGTGCCATCTGAGTACAAACTGACAAGTGATGGACGTAGGCTATACAGTACAAACTGACAAGTGGACGTAGGCTATACAGTACAAACTGACAAGTGATGGACGTAGGCTATACAGTACAAACTGACAAGTGATGGACGTAGGCTATACAGTATGCATGGCTGTCGAAATGGTGAAATGCACTGCAATGAAGTGATATCGCCATAACATCATGTTGGAGATGGCTGGCTGAACCTCTTACCGTGGCATACTCTTGGAAATCTTTACGCTGCAGCAGCTTATCGACGTACGGCATGCTCTGGTGATAGTTTGCACCATACTGCTGGTATGGTGCATGGAAACGCACCACAAACTGTGCAAGAGAGCAAGAAATCACCCGCCAGACAAAGTTGGTAAACAACCGAGAATTTGTCCTTCCCAGCAAGCAGGGTGTTCCAAGGGTAGGCTGTTGCTCTACCACACTATATGACAGGAGGTGTACATCAACCCAGCATCCCTACCCACAACAGCATGTACATGTCAGCACTGAAAGCCAAGGGCCAGGTAGATTTACTAGCAGGGGAGTCAGCTACAATAGCAGCAGCTGCAGCAGCAGAGCCGTGTTGTTGTACAGCCTTCAACCGGGCTTATCAAATCAACAACATGGCAATGACAAGCCAGCGGCGACACAACTCAAGATCAGATCACATCCTTTGATAAACGAGACCCTATTGAGCTTTGTCTAGTTGTTCAGATCAGCGCCACTCCTATACACTTCAAAGTTGGGTGTCGATCGGTTTTGGAACCTACCCGATTCAATATGCTGATAAGAGATTCTAGAGAAGCCGATTGGCCGGGTTTGTGTGATGTGAATAATGACAGCAGGTCTCCACAGAACTTCTCACTAAGCTGTGCATACGCAGATGAAACAGTAGAACACACCAAAAAAATTTCATGACAAATTTGACAATGAAGTTGGTTGTTCCAACGAGGAAAAAATTGACAATGTGATTTAAACAGTCCATGTATGCTGATCGTGCATACCAGTAGTACCAGGACCATCAGAGACCTGATGTGGGCATGTCAACCGTGATCAACACAGATCAAGATCGACTTACAACAGCCAGTTCCAGGACATTGCCGAACACCCTGCTGTGGTCTACGTCACACAAGTGCCCTCTCCGTTGCAGCTTCTGGAGCACAGTATGGTGTACCTACATGTGTGGGGAAGCAGAACAGGTGACAAAGCAACCACCAGCCACAGCCGCATCAGTGTGATGTTGCTCTTCACGCCTTTATGTCTGACAAGCAACCATCTGTCACATGGAAACTGATCATGGTAATACATTCACTTCACTTGTAGCGGTTGTCCACTACATATTGAACCCCGTCCCTCCTGAATTTAAGCTTTCGACCTATTCGGCACATCATCATAAACTAAAGATCATAATACTACACACCATCCGTCTCACAGCACGCCACAACACTATACAGAACACTAGAGAATACTAGGCAAAGACCAGCTGGCAACTCCAATCAGCAATCATGGTGACCCCCCCCCCCCCCACACACACACACCACATACGAGCCATTGTGCTGCTCAGTGCAAGTGCCAGCATCCAGTGGTGAATATTCAACACACAACTTGATACAACAACATCCTTAGCTAGCTGGTATCATACACAGCATGCTCAGACCTCACTACATGTAACAGGGGAACTACTTACATCCTGTAGGACAAGCAGGGCTTCGATTAGATAAACAACCTCGCTCCGTAATAGCTCCCACACGGATAGCTGGAACCTCCACTCTGCTGACGAACAGTAGCTATTCGGATTGCATGCGGAGTGCTTAGCGCAACTGCAATACCATACACAAAGTTACACAGCGGCACACATACAAGACGCACATGAGCATGGACACACACACACACGCACACGCACACATACACACACACACACACACACACACACACACACACACACACACACACACACACACACATAATGTGTACATATGTGTTTCTGTGTAGTTGGGTCAAGGGGGAGCAAAATGCACAATGTGGTAACCTGCCCCTAAACTGGCAGCAAAACAGGCCTTGAATAGGTTTCATAGAATTATCTGGTCCAAATGTATCCATGCATGCCATGATAACACATGACCAAAGTGCAGGTAAGCAGCATGATTTACCTTTCCTCCATCAGTTCCTGTGGCTTGTTGTGCCGATGCTGGAACTGATCAGTGGGGCTGAACGGAGTGCAGTAGCCTTCGCCAATGATGGGTGAAGTATCGTAGCAGGCAGCAACATGGAACCAGTGTAAAGAACTATCCTGTGAAACATGACAACAGTTACCCACAGCACACACAATGGAGGCTGGATTTTTCTTCCAATAAACTTCGCAAGCTCAAATATGCTGTTTGAGGGATAATGTTGAATAGCACTTGCAAACCAATGTCCACAGTCATGCAGTTCAAGGGAAGTCAGTGGACTTAGCAATGTACCTGGTGAATTGGAGTACATATGTTACACTCAACGTGGCATCATTTCTCTATTTGTCATCACTGTCTCTATATGTCATCACCTGTTTACTTTGTGCCTATATGGCTTGACTGCAACTTTCTCTATATAACTCCAGGTCATTCCGAGTCTATAACTCCAGATGCGACTTTCCCTATATATCTCCACTCAGGTTGAGACTTTCTCTGTATGACTCCAACTCAGGTTTTGTATGGAGAAGTTGGCAATCTGACCTGGAGTTATACAGAGAAAGTCGCAGTGAAGCCATATAGGCATGAAGTAAACAGGTGATGACATAGAGAGGAGTGAACACATATAGAGAGCTGGTGGACTACTGAGTGCTACACATATACTGCACTAACAATGTCTAACACCTTACATGGAACATGGATACTCTCTTCCATTCAATTTTCCGGGTAATCTTGGATATTTCAATAAAGTTCTTTGCGTGCATGGAACAAGATGACTAGTCACTTCCATATTCACAAAGAGGCTGAATGTAGTGCAATGACTCACAGTCAAGTATTTGAGTTGATGTTTGCAGATAGTTGGAAGGAATATCTCGTTAATGGCATCGCACAGTCGCCCGCTGGATGTCAGATCATCGGAACTCGACTCCTGAAGATAAGAAACAGAATGATACCATGTAGGATGATTTCTAGACCATGACTCGTACCATAATGATATGCTGTACATACACCACAATCACATATCTAGTACATTATTGCACACAGCTACTGGGAAGACTGGGAGTCACTTGGGGGAGGGGGGGGGGGGGGGCACACTGCTACAAACTGCTACTGACTCAGACCACTGTGCCAGGGAGCAGTTTTTTTTTCTTCCACTTTATTATTGAACTCTGTACTGCCAATAGTAGCTTCTTCTTCAAACCTCCCCGAGCTGGACTGGACTGGCCTGGAAAGCTTACCGTTCTCTTCCTGGGCCGAGTTAGCGTGAAGAAGTGGAACTTCTTGGATACGGACGGTGAGGCTCTGGGAGACTCGGTCAACGCTGCAGCAACATAATCACCATGCATTCGCCGAGGGTTTTAACCAAACATAACAAGAACATGCCATGAGTGCAAAGGTCAATACAGAAAACCTACGTGGTAATTGGCAAGCGACCATTTCAACAAGAGACCACCTGTTCTGGAAGGGTGATATTCTGTGCATCGCAGGGTGATCGTTCAGCACAGGTTTGGCCGCATTTTCCTGGGTCTTCACTGTCGTCAGTCAAGTTAACTTCTCAACCACAATCTTCAGTCACAAGGCACGAAAATCATTCCAAACGCATTCAGTGCCAGACGCCTGGGTTTGCGCAAAACGATGATGTGTAGTGTGAATGTGTATTAAAAAGAGCGCATGGGTTTGCTACTTTGTCTCTAAAGATGCCAAGAGCTGCATTCTGAAGGTATAGAACTGATACGTGCGGCATTGGTCTGAACCCCATTCGGTAATGCTCTCCGCTATCGCATCTAAACTGTACCTGGCGGCTGCGGTAACTTCAGCTGGTCAGACACTGGAGCATCTATCACCAAAACATTTAAAACACACATAAACACAGCCCAAACCATTACTCATACAGCAGTTGCACCAGTGTCTTACGTAATAGCATGTGTTCTCTTACAGAGGATATCTCCCGGTATTCATTTTGCTACAGATACCTGTCTAATGCAAGACAACAAATAGGCTACTTTTTTGGAAGTAGTAGAAGCATACAGACGTTTTGGAGACAGCAGCTTTAATATAGCAACAAGAAAACTGTTCTGAACAAATCCTCTCTTTATTTTGGTGTGTGCCCTACGTTCATTGTTTGACATTTACTCATGCATGTCGACATAATATAGGAAAAGCTTACAGCGAAACTTGTCCTCCTTGTTGCTATAGTGGCAGTATGTTGGGCCGTTTCAATTTTCGCGTCTAGTGCAATGCAGCACAGATAATGTCAAATCTGGAGATAGCCCAACGCTGTACTTACCCTCATTGGATGTGCGACGGACTTTCAGCGAGCTGGAGCGCCACTGCGCACTGCCTGCGCCTCCCGGGTTCGATAGATGTGCATCGCCACGCTGCAGTGATGAGCCAGAGGTACTGTTGGGAGCGTCAGCGTGAATGTTTGATGAAGACTTTGACGAGTAGCTGCCGCTGTCACTGCCGGCATCGAAGAATACACCACTGGACTCCTCCGGCGACCCAGAGCGCGATGTTGTTGGGAAATGAGCATTTTCTGGCAACCTGGACAGGCATAAACATGATGAACACGACAATATCAAACCAAGTCACACAGTGTCGCAAGAAATATACGTTGGATCTGTTCATTTAGAAAAGACTTATGGTAAACTGGGCTAACAGCGTACACATACCGGTAATCTCTTCAAGTGTGATACTAGAATAGAACTGTAATCTCTTCAGGTGTGATACTAGAATAGAACTGTAATCTCTTCAGGTGTGATACTAGAATAGAACTGTAATCTCTTCAGGTGTGATACTAGAATAGAACTGTAATCTCTTCAGGTGTGATACTAGAATAGAACTGTAATCTCTTCAGGTGTGATACTAGAATAGAACTGTTATCTCTTCAGGTGTGATACTAGAATAGAACTGTAATCTCTTCAGGTGTGATACTAGAATAGAACTGCCGTACAGGTACAACATAACAGTTACTGGTACCTTTCTGACGTCTCTTCTCTACACGTAGATACTACTCATCACTGGTTTCCAAGTTGATGGTGATGAGGGGTGATTTTTTTAAGAAACTCCCTGAGTAACGAGAGTGATCACGCTCATACATGCATCTCCTACCGTCATAATATCCCCAAAGCCGGGCCCCACTTCATAAACTCACCTCTCTATTAACGAAGCATTGCCGTGAATAAGTTGCCAGCATTAATAATTCATTCCGGTTTTTGTTCCAAGAATCCCTGATCATAGTTCCAGTTCATGTACCCCCCCCCCCCTCTCTCCCCTCCATTGTAGTTCTTCCTATCATTCTCCCACCTATGCTTTTGATCTGTGCTCTATATCTCTCTGCCTCCTCCTTTCTTCAACACAAAGAGACTATAACGATAGACATCCACTTGATACTCGTACAGAATGGGGGAGGGTCCTACCAATGTGGGAGATCATCATAGCTACAAGTACATGCACATTTTTAGTTTAAAATGGCACTGCCAGACTTACGCCCCGACACTTTGACGATACGGGCCTCTTCGCTCCTGCAATGGCAAAGAAATGCGACACAAACAATGCGGGAACTTCATGAATGAGGTCGGTAAGTCCATGTTCCAATGCTGACATCCACTACTCCAACAGTCGACATTAGAAAGTTTTAAGCAGCATGACTGGAAACTTAGAAAACTACTTTTTAAGAAGTCGAACAGTGCATGAGAGAGTACAAACAGTGGATCATGTCGGAAATGTTAGCACGAGGACGCAAACGGAAAAGAAAATTTAGACAATGGGCTACGATGTAATGGTGTCCACTGTCTGGCACAAGGCAGATTGTTCTGGTCTTCTCTAGCACAGGAAAACTTGTCTGAGTGATGGTACGCTAGTGTATTCCAAACTCTAGCCAGTAGCAGTCAAGCAGCATGCATGCGGGAATCGTCAAGGAGCCGCTCGGAGTGGTGCATGGAATGTGATGCAGGCAGTCGGACATCATGCACTCACCGCCCTGATGCTACTTCTGAGGGGACCATCCACCGAGGAGTGCCGCCGATCCCTCTGCTCGCCAGCCGTACTTTGTGGAGCAGGTGCAGGATCGTTCGGAACCCTGTACAAAAATCACACAAAGCATAGGCAAACAGCCATGATCCATGGATCATGATACATGGATCATGATACATGGATCATGATACATGGATCATGATACATGTATCCCTAACTAAAATTTCCATTTTTATAATGGACCAGGCAGGCGGCGGCTATATTTTCGAGTGAATGAGGAACAGGATCGCTGACATCCGCCTCTCAATACTGTACCTAATCACTGCATCGATAGTAGTGCCATTCTGAACCCGGAGTCTCTAGAATGTACGTCGTCTCCCAAAAATGAGTAAATTCATCATTCAGTTGTGCTCGCACCTTCACCGGCCTTACCAATGGTGAAAGAACCGGCATGTCATCAGCATTGGGAGACGGGCTGACGACACTCTCTGATGTCGGTGGTCGACGGGAGGAGCGCTTTCTGAGTGAACCGTACCATGATGATGATGGCTTCTCGGTACCGTTGGGTAGCGTTGATGTTATCCTCTGGCTACGACCGAGAGACGGGCTTTGTGAGGCCATCTCTGGATCAGACGAGTAGCCTCCTGTCCCACTCTCGCTGGCTACACGACTTCTTGACTTGATTCTAGCTGCATGTGACTTGCTTAACGACTTCGGTTGATCCGTACTGCCACTACTTCCGCCATGGCCTGTTATTGAGATGGACATCGACCGAAGTCGCTGGTGGAGAGAGCTTGCCCCTGCTTTCGAACCTAGGGCGCGGGAGAGGGGAGAGACGAGGCGTGCAGTTTGCCTCTGGTTGAAGACCACCACCTCATCTGGCGCATGCTGATTGAACACGTGTGCACTGCCGACATTTGCCTCTGGCGGTTGAGCCACGCTAGTCAGTGGATGTGTCAGTTCTCCGTGGCTGGTCGTCCTTCGGAATGGCTCATTTGCACCTATTCACGCAACACAGCACAGCCAGTGTGGATATCAACATCACACAATTTGCTGACTAATGGTGGTACTCTAACACAGAGCTCTGAGTCTGAGCAACAGCAAAGAAGACTTGATTGTGCCATTGCTGTATGACTATAAGTATATGTAACTGATCTACCCTAAAAATCGAGCTACCTACCATTATCAGTACAAGTATCTACGACGTATCTTTTCACAATCGGCAACACGTTTTTTTGTGACAAGCCAAACCGACTTTGGGGATATTTCAGCTTCTATAAGTTGCTATCAACCAGCAGCAACATGAGGACATGCCAGTTTCTTTGCACAGGCACTCTGGAAATGGGCTTGGATTGTTTCAATCAAATCCTCTTCACACTGTGGGATATTCACGAGTAAAAAAATAGAATTTCAGCTAGGCTTCATTTCCCGGTGTGCATACTGTGGTTGTCCCGGCAGTCCACACTAGGATTAGAGAATGCTAGGCGGGGATAGATGACCAGACCATTAAACAACTGCAAGCGTAATGTAAAAGGCCACCATAAAGCAGTATAGCAAAGAGATACCTTTGATCTTGCTGACACCATAAAGCAGTAGTATAGCAAAGAGATACCTTTGATCTTGCTGACACTTGGCGCTGGTACATCTAGTGACAAAGATGGTATTGCTTTCCGTTTTCCTACTGGAACTCTCTGAAAAGGAGCAAAGCGTTGAACACCACACAATGAGCGCAGGCACTTTATTTTCCTTCCAGCAATGTGGTATAAAAACTGCAGCCATACTGTAAAGCAATGTGAAGTTGGTATGTGTATCGAGAAACCTAAACAGCAGCATTATTTCATGAAGCATACTCATAAAACTGGCACATCATTACAAAACTGTAGATCCACTAAAGAGATTATTAAAGGATGCTGTCATATGCCATATTGATGAATCTTCCCCATCTACTGCCGGTATACGATTGCGAAGTTACGGCCATTTCAGGCACACAGACATTGCCTGCTCCCAGACCACCGGATAAACCCTTCCCCCAAGCTGCATGAGCATTGTGTGTTTCCTACCTTGCTGTCACCATCATCATCATGATTGACCAAGTTGAGCAGCCCTGTCCGGAGTATATCTAGTTGCTGGTGATTCTGCAGAAAGGCTGGCAGCTCCTGATCATCCCTGCCAGGCAGCAGCTGCACAAGCCGCAGAGCATGCTCCTTGATTTCTTCATAGCATCCCGGCCGAAAGGCTGATTGACGCCGCTCCGAGCCTGGGCTGGGCGGCGTGGTGGGACTGTAGAGGACTAGGCCATTCTTCCTCTCAGTCTTCGGTGGTGCGATGACTCCTGGTGCCTCGGCTCTCCTGCTCGACCGTGGGCTGTGACACCGCTGGCGTAGTGGCAAGCGATCTTCAGTGCGGCCAGTGCCAGTTTCAATCCCAGTGGAACCAGTACCACTGCTGCTACCACTACTGCTGCTACCACTGCTGCTGCTAACGCTGTCACTGCTGTCTATTGACAGTTTGGACGAGATTGAAGTCGATCCGGGTGTTGTGGCCTCGTCAGTGCACACCAGGGGAGCGCACTCTTGGATCGAGATCATCTTGCCTGGGTGGGACAAGTCGAACAAGTTGGTGGGGATCGTGCGCTGACGCTTCATCATGATACTGCTGCTAGAGTCTTCGTCGCTCGTCACTGATGAATTGCAGGAACCGGTGCTTGCTGTGAGGAAAAAGCAACCATGCCCAGGTCAACACCAGAGGAAGCCAATTCACCACATACGTATTGTTCTTGTACGTGAACAAGACACCAAACCCATGACTAATAGGGTGCACGGGAGAGGGGGAGGGGGCGGGGGAAGGGGGGGGGGAAGGGGGGGGCGGGGGAAGGGGGGAGGGGTGTTGGGGTGAAAGTCACAAAGCACGTACACACTTGCAATAGGGCAGTGCCTGGCCTGCCTCATGCTATTGCAAACTGCCCGTGGTACCTGACCTTCAGGATAGGAAAGCATGCGGCTTGGATGATTGGCTTTAGATTCCCACATTTGCATGGACAAATATGTGTTAGTTACTTTCATGATAAGGAAACACATTCACCGTTAGCTATTTTACTGGGTCCTGTGGGTAGGTTGTGTGTGTGGGGGTGGGGGTGCAGATAACAGTTTAAAAGCCCACACCAGCGTATGGCTCAAAGCCGGGTCCGTCCCACCAGGATTTTCACATCACATGGTTCAATAGCCTATACTACACTGGCAAACAGAGCACAGTGATCACCAGAGAGCTGTACCGGAAGCAGGGTTGAGTACAAACACTGTAGCCGCTTACTGGTAGATCACGCACAGGTAGATGCACAGATAACGTGTACGGGTTAGTGTCATGTGATGCGAAATTACGCCATTACGGACCCGTTACGTATACCACTGGAGTTGCACTGTCTTCGGAAGTATGCACTGTAGCTACAATGTGCTCTTGGTAAAATGTACAGTGTAGGTCCAGCAGTTAACGTATCATGTACTCGTCAAGACGTCAACATAATGACCCTGACACAATAAAGATGCTAAGCCAGTACATGTACACCATTTCCAATTTCGGAAGTTCTCACTGAAACCAGGTTTGAGAGTTGAAACACTTTTACAGCGCAGAGACCATTGCGTGTGCACTCAAACTGACATGTATTGAAATGGCTGAGGTGGAGTGTGCGAGTTTTTAAATTAAAAAAGAAAAGAAAATGCATGCTGGTTGCAAGCCTGAATAGCGACACTTCTTTTTTTTATCTCTAGCCAAAGTTTCCCATTTTACAGTATGTCTTTTCGAAATATTGAACGCCTTAAAAATACGAGGAGAGGCTCGAGTTAGAGAGTATTCGACTACTCTAAAAGTCGAAAGTTAATGGACCCAAAATTGAGTGACGTCATGCAAGTGCCAAAGGCATGTCGTCCTCTTGTGATTGTTTGTTGTTCAACTACACGTAAGTACTATTCCAATTTAGTTAAACAACAAGCATGAGGATGTCAATTGTGAGTGCTACTTCAAGGGATTAGCTATTGGGCCGTCCACACCCAGTGCCATGAAAACAGTGACAGTAGTATCTGATGCAATGTAGTGCAATGCACAACCTACAATAATGGCAGACTGGTTACCGTGCTGAGTACAAGCTGTACTGTCTGTAGTGTATTGTTGGGGCTCACCTGGTGCAGACCAGCGAAGTTTGATGCGCTTACGATTAGCCGATAATGTGTCGTCGTGGATAGTGCCAGTGCCATTGGTGTTTCCAACCACCTGCTGTTGTTGCTGCTGCTGCTGCTGCACTTGAAGCTCTGTCCTCGCTGGGTGAGCGTCGCTCAGGACACGCTTATCCGGCAGGACCGTACTACAAACATCTCCCCCACCACCGCCATTCGTGTGCGTCGTCGTGGCCGCCACCTCCGGTATTGCCAACTTGGCAGCATTCTGCTTGGCCAGAGCCTGGGCAAGTACCCTCGCTTTGTTGACCATCTGCAGTTCAGCCGACCATGCAGCGGACAGATCGCGTTTCAGCTTGGCGATCTCCGAGCGGAGCGCAGCCACCGTGGTGGCAGATTCGTCCGAGCCGTGTTCGTCCATCATACCGGAGGAGCAGCCAATCAGGCTAGGCCGCCCATCGGTGACCATAAATCACACATCAGCACTTGACTAGCGCGGAAGGTCAACCCGCCGCTCTCACACTCTGTCCGAGACTCGGCAAGAGATCTCATTGACCCCGCGGCGAATATAGTATAGTGAAAACAAGCCTCAGCAGCCAGGCATTTCATGTAGGCTATGAAACAACTTTCCTCCCGGGAGTATTATTTTTCTGTCACATTGACAGTCACACAGAATTGTGGATTCAGTCCCAGGGTGTGTCGACGAGGGTCTGTATTTGCAGGCAAGGCCGAAGCCAGCAGGATCAATCTGCACTACATCGACGTCGACATTAGCCCACAGTAGCATATCAGTTGACCGGAGAATACTCAGGCGGAGACTCGTGGGTGAGAGAGAACTTAGCTGTGGCCAATTGCCAAAGAATGCAGTCTTCATTCATGTCCTGACCGAAGTCTTCACAGCGGGTCATCGGGAGGCGACCAGGGATAGTTTGATGTTGAACTGTTACTTTTCGGCTCAAGCTGATCAGTACAGTGTAGTGGTTGTGGTGACTGATGACTGGTGACTCGGGTGAGTTCACATAGGCCGTAGGCGAGCTACACCTGATCTGCACGTCTGCGTCAAAAATTCCGATGTCCGAAGATGACCTATCGATGCGCAGGTACAGTCAATCATCAATGTTCGCACTGGATGTGCAATGGGTCGCCCAGGTCGCACTCACACGGAGAGGCAAGCCTGTCATCATGGTCATGTCTGGCAACCACCGGTGACCTGGCCGCTGTCCGCTGTCGCCAGTGTCGGCAGTTAGTTACTAAGTTAGTAGCTACCTATCGTCCGTGTGCTGCACGTAACTTCGTAAGCCGTAAACATGGTCAAAGGATGCTGCTGTCTCTCGTTCGATCTGTCGTCGTTTGTCACTGTCAGGACTGCTTTTATGTATTTCCCGGATTTGGTCCGTAGTGCAGTGGGGTGGTCTGTTCTCTCAGATCAGGTGAGGGCGCATCAGTGAAAACGTGTGGGAAAGGGCCAGCCAGTGGAGTGGAGGTGTTGACAGGGCAGCCTAGCTTTTCGCTTAGTGTTCAGAAAGGGTGATTGCTACCAGCAGACTGTCACTTTTACTGTCAAAGTAACAGTTAGTTACAACGACTTCTGGCTGGGCAGTCCGTAGTCGGAGAGTACTGAAGGCTACGACTACGGACTAGCGCAAAGACTCAAGTAAAACTAAGGGCAGTTACGGTATCCGTCGACTGCATGCTGTGTGGCATTGTGCAGCTGAAGCTTGGAGGATCTAGGAATGCTGTAATGAGCAATGTGCAGATGTCAAGCACCATGCTGCCTGTCGACCGCAGAGAAGATGCTATCAGCTCGCGGCACTGACGGGCACATGTGGCACCCTCTTGAGTCTTGATGAACATCACGCAATGCGGCATTCACTGCACGGCGGACAGCTGAGGGCTCTGCTACTTTACTTTGCTTTCGGGAGAACTGGTGCGTGGCTAGCTCAGTGTCGTGTAGATCTCCGCGTAAAGGACCTCCAGCAGTGCAGGCTAGCCCATCGCGGATAATGCTCGAAAAGCAGCGAAATTGTCGAAACCCGGACAAACCTCAAGGCAGGCGCTTCCTTGAATTCCACTCCATTTCCTTATCCAAGTACCAAACATGCAAGAGACAGACCAGAAACAGTACCGTCAAATCCTGCCAAATATTCTGCGGCATTATCCGGCGCCAAGGGCTACTCCAGGCTCCACTCTTGGGCGGGTGTATATGTACTCAGTAGGTTCCAGGATACCTGAATTATTTATTTATTTATTTCTGCACCTCGTGGCATGTCAAGACAGCCAATTGAATTGAGGAGAGGGTGAGACCAACCACGGAAGAAGAGAAAAAAAGAAAATGAAGAGCAATGCGGAAGTAGCCTGGCCTTGACCGATCCAGACTACAAGCATGTGCGCAACAGAACAGTGCCAGGTAGATCTACACGGTTCTTCTTGGGCGGCGCTCACACGGATACTAGTAAAATGTCAAGAGTACATAACCCCATGTATTGTAATACCTCAAAGTTAATGCCTGGGGGTTAGATGTGTGTGATTGTACTCTTGACTACATGTACATGTATTATAAAGGGAATAAAGGGCTGGAGAATATGGAATACGCCAGTCTGCAGCAATGACGAGCACAAGTCTGTTGCTCCGGGCCGGGCGCAAGCCAAAAAATGACAACCGGGCGGTGTTCTAGCAGCGTTTGGAATCAGTTCAAGCAGAACACCATATTGACATACAGCTGCAAGAGCTTGAAGCGTCAAAGACACCTAACCTCTTCAAATCTATACTTCCGCTACAGCTACACTAGAACTAGAACAGCTACACATTCATTTTTATGATCATCAGTCACATAATTGTACATGTAGGTGCCCCAATTGCACACCAGCCACTTATAAAATCCGCACAAGGTCCAGTGGGAGAAAATCTACACGTCCCGTCTCAGAGTTTCATGCTTCTGCACAATCGTCAGAAGACTATGCTGAACAAGGTAAACAGTTCACTAAGGACTACACATGTACATCCTACGAAGAAAGTCTCTACTGACTGACATGTACATGTACCTAGTGTCCTTGGTGGGAAACCGATGGTATCTGAATGATCAGCCGGCAATGATGTACAGTCATATAGTACTATTGCTAGTAGTACAAGTAGTAGTGGAAGGCACACATGTTACAGAGATTTAATACTTAGTAGTAGTCAATAGTGTGATGGGTAGTGGCGTAGCATGTTGTACTAGGGTAGGGAGGTAAGGTGTAGTGTTGAACCAAGAGTACTAGTACATCTTGGTTGAGCCAGTGTATATCACGTACAATGTATGACTGTGATTCTGTGAATTGCATAATGTAGATCTACAGTACTTGGGTGGGTTCCGTGGCATGTACATGTACATGTACATGTATGTACACTAATAATCTCCGCTCCAATATCAAGAGCAAATAAGCTCCCTGGGGGCATATGACATGTACTCTGCTAATACACATGTATCGAAGTACATGTACGTCAGCGCGGAATCTGGGCTCTAAAATTCGAGATGTTCTGTTTTGATTCACGCCGGCATTTGGACTACCGGTATACAATACATTTACCGGAAATATCTAAAAACTATCTAAACTTCGTTGTTCTGGTCGCCATTCTTCCGCCTGGACAGCTCAAGGGAAGCTGCGAATTCTCGGATTAGGGGTGTCGCGTATCCAGCTGTGCAGGAGGACGGCAGTGCAGCTGTGCGTTGAGGCTACGAGTTCAGGGGAAACTACCTATTTTAAAACCATGCAGTCGTGTAATCCAGGCACTCTGTCCATGCTTTAGGAGACGTATCGGCCAACAATGACGCAGACGGTGAGTCGGTTGAACCGCATTATACCGGTATGCACCATAGTTTGCAACAGTCACCCGCTATCTGACCATCTCGGAGCGTCACCATCACATCTGCCTCACCCAACGACTTTCAAATTCCGCTCCACGTACTCCTCCTAACAATGTCTGTTCTTCGTTTCTCTCTTTCTCCTCCTAACACTGTCTGCCACGGTCTTATTTTTCCCCTCCTGCTATTGTTCTGTCTCTCCTCCTAATATTTTCATATCATGTACCTAGTACCTGTCTGTCACTGCTCCTTTTTTGTGCGTTTGATGTCCCCATATGGCCATGACGCCGAGACCCTAGGTCGGCTGAGGGCAACAAGCCTCACCATCACTATGCTCCCCTTATTATGCAGTTGTTGTCTTTGTCTGTGACCTGTGATCATAGTACAAAGCAAAACTGAGACACATCAAGTCATCATGTACGAGGTGGTCTTTAGTCTATATTTGTGTATCTACACGAGGTACATGTAGTGCTACGACTTAACTGGAGGAGACCGCTGAGTTGTTTTCTCAAACCATCCTCTCTCCCAGCTGTGAAAACTGAGAAATCACGATACCCAAACTACGGAAACAAAGCAATCACGTGTAAAATGTAGTAGTCTACTTGTAATTTGTATGAATGGTGGTGAAGAAAGACAAGTGATAATAATAATACAGTGCTTAGGATCTAATTTAGGAAATCAAAAAGCAAGGTTATCGAATGCATCAGTGTCTAACAGAGTAACAGTACATTGTACATTGTATGTACATGTACATGATTGTACATGGTATTATATAACCCAATACTAGTTCAAAACTAGTATTAGATAAACCTTGTTATAGTTCACGCATATTGTTAGATTGACAGCATGAAACAAGGTGGAGGACACTGTGTTCGGAAACAGTGACCTTACGCTTACTACAACCTTCCGCGGTTGGCAGAGCCCCGGTCCCTGCGGACCATTTGAACCATATGGGTGTCGCACCCGGTTCTGACCCTCATTATGCTAGGGGGGGGGGGGGGGTTGGTGACTACTCCTGACGTCCGTCGTGTATTCTTTGATCGCTCCTGGATGTCGTCCTGGTAGTCATGTAGCTACTTAAACCTCAACTTCTTTTCTTCCAACTTCTGCCCATGGCGTCCTTCACTCAGCTCGTCAGCTGCCAACAGTTACTGCCACCACCATGACACTGTCGCGAGAAGGTGCTCTGACGGGATTGGTGATGTCCCGACGTGGCCATGGGTAGGCCTTCACCACGTCGGAACACCCCGGCTACACGTTGGTTACCTCCACTAGTTAACTAACTTGTTTGTTGTTGATGTTGTCACGTAAACTAGTACTTGTCAAGAAAACTTGAATTTCATCTACAAACCTGAGCGACTGCTTCAATTTTGCTACACGCTGGTTACCTTCATCAGTACCGCTGGGAACTAACTGGTATGTTATTGATGTTGTCACGTAAACCTGTACTGCTGAAAAACTGGAATTTCATCTGCAAACCTAAACAATTAGCTACAAGTGCCTCAATTTGATCATGCAGTTTTGTTAGTTACGTGCATACCCTCACAAATAAATTTAAAAAGAAAAACGAGCTTGAGTTACGTCTTACCTCCGGTGTCAACTCGTATCAAGTGGAGTTAATCCTGGGGTGAACAGGGGCGGATCCAGGGGGGTGCGAAGGGTGCAAATGAACCCGTCAGGATTTTTCCAAAAAAAAAAAAAAAAAAGTTCAGGCCAGGCCAGGCCCAGGCTCGCTGCGCGGATCCGCAGATGATTTGTGTGCAATCACGTGATCGTTCTGGACACGTGCTCGCGCCAGGGCTGCACATTTGGAATAGAACTTTTTTGGAACTAAGGGGCCGTCCGTAAATATCGATGTTTTTTTAGAGACGATATTGGTGCTTCTCTCCCTTGACCCCCCCCCCTCCCCCCAGAAGACGCACATGTACATCTAGATCATGGAATCAATATTTTTGGATGCTCATTTTTTCAAATCCTTGTTCAGACATGTCGACAGTGAAGACTGGAAACTCTTGTGGAGTTCGTCCGTGTTTGTTCGCACTGCCTCTACGTCTTGAAAAAGGTCTCCTGCAAGCATCGTTCGGCCGATTTCCACAATCAATAGCTCATTCTTTTGCTGTTGAAATTCGCCATGG